GACTGTGTTGCTCTCAGTTTAACTGATAGACTCAACCACCTTACCCTGTTAAGGGGTGTGTCCCAAGAAGGCTCTCTATATGTGTACATCAGCATAAAACTCCTTGGAATGGCAGTGTTCCAACAAACCAATTAAAAAGTTCAAGTAAAAATATACTGGTTGCCCACCTCTCCCTATACCTAGGACCTATGGCTCTAAGTCAAACAGAGCGTTTTTCAAACCTGATCTAAATTTGTCCAGTTCTGGTCTCACATGAAGGTGCAGGGACAGAGAATTCCACAGCTTTGGAGCCTAGTGGGAAATGTCTGAAGCCTGGAATTTGCCATCTTAGCCCAAGTTTGAAAGTGAATGCCTTGATACTAACATGCTTTTCTGTATATACATTTCGTTATTTTGATGAGACTTGCCTGAAAGAGGAAGAGGTGTAACCAAAGTATCTAGCATTCAATTACAGTGGGGTCTTGACTTGAGAACTTAATCCGTATTGGAAGGCGTTTCTCAAGTCAAAAAGTTCTTAGGTCAAATCTGCATTTCCCATAGGAATGCATTGAAAACCATTTGATCTGTATCTGCTCTTTTCCGTCCATAGAAACTAATGGGAAGCTGCTATTCTGCCTTCGACCACTAGAGGGGGATATTTTGTTTCTTTTTTTCTTAGGTCAAGAAAGGTTCAGGGAAGGCAGGGAAAATACAGTCCAGGCAGTACCAGGCAGTCTGAAGACTGTCTCCCAAGCCACTCTCTAAACGCTGGGAGGAGTGAGGAAGCAGACAGGGACCCTTTTCACTGGCCAACAGTTAACTGAAAGTTCAAATTTTGCACTTTCCCTGCCTCCCACGTGGATTTTTTTCAGTTCGTAACTCAAATCTAAGTACTTAAGTCAATATTTTCCTATGAGAGCGGTTCTTAAGTCAAAATGTTCTTAACTTGAGCCGTTCTTAAGTCAAGACCCCACTGTATCAGGCTGCATATGTTTTAAATTCCTCTTGGCATTATCCATGAACCCTTATGAAATCTCAATATTCCAGAGTTTAAGTAATAGCTATGAAGTAAGATTTTAAAGTAAAGATTTATAAAGTAAGGAAATGATTGGGAGAGTATTTCCATTATGTGATGATAGTACCTGGTGATTGGCTTAGAAATAATAAAAAAAATGAAAATAAATCTTCCACTTTGCCCTCAAAACCTTTTAGGGCTATGTTGGACTATCCAAGAAGCTGATTTAAGATTCATACAGAATATATGTAGAAACAGAGGTGCTACTCACTAATCGTGCAGATTATGTACTATTTATATAATAATAATAGCTATGTTCCATCAAATACATTCCAGTTTAGCCGCAGTAACTTTGACTTAGGGGGTATTCCTCTTGGAGCTGAGTAAATTGGCCATCAGTAAAAACACATGCCCCCTCTTGGATGCACATCTTAACATGGTGAAAGGGCTTGTGTCAGGAAAGCTGAGATCTATACTGGGATCTAATGGTGAGATGCCATTATGAGTTTAGACTCCAAGGAGAGTCAGCCATGGAATCAACGTTCCCTCTAGTTCTCCATAGCTCTCTGTGGAGGCTCTGCCTCCTGCGGGTAGAGTACCAGCAGGAAATGGGCGGATGCATTGGCTTGGCTGCACGTGCCTGAAGGAGCAGCACACTCCCGTGCACCCATGCAGCTTAGAGGGAATATTGCATGGATTGGTGAAAGTACCCAACCTGTGTAGGAATTAATGGTCACATTCAGCAGAAGAAAATTCATAGTTCTGGTGATAATGCACTGTGGAGAAACTCTTGACAAATAACTGCCAGCCAGCAGCAGTAGTGGAAGGTGACACTGGTAGAGGATCTTTTAAAGAGAGATGTTGGTTGCATTCCTGGACATTCCACAAACACATCGAGGACCTCATTAATGAGTAGCAATTTACCACCAAGAATTAGGAAAACTCTTACACAAGCACAAATCAGCAAGAGGATTTAGGATGCTATGTATTTTAGTATTGCCTGATTCGATGGTTTACCCTGACTGTGGGATATAAGGAAGGGTGGGATATAAAGATACAAATTAATTCTTGTAGCAGAGTATGTAGAATAATATTTAAGCTGACTCTAGGGCTTTTTGAGTTAAACTAGAAATTAATCATTGGCCCAAGATGGTCTTCTGAAACTCAATATTTAAAGGAGAAATACTTCCTCCTACTTTTATTAGATGTATTCCCATCTCCAGTATACAGCAAGAATAGGACTTAAAGCACAGAGACCACAAAATAATTCCCAAGGCACTCTTCTGATTGTGTATTTGTATGGGGAAGAGATTTCTAGTTGATGGGAAATGTGTGTTTTTGTTTAAAGTGGGTCACATGTCCAGGAATGCAGTCAACTTATAATGGTGACAAAGTGTGGAAAGGGAGGGCAACTGTGAAGGAAAAAAAAGAGCCTTAGGCAATGGAAAGAGACCTGGAAGCATTAGAGTCTGGCTAGGCCTCAGGGTTCTGCCATGCGTTAACAGCCACAAGAGACCTTTGTTTAAAGACAGATATATTTTCTCCTTTGCTGTCCTTTGTTAATTTTGAAAAAAACAATGATTGTTCTTGAGAGAAGAGATGGATGGGTAAGAGGGATGCTTATTTTCCTGGATTCACTTGTTTCTCCTTTCTTAGCAGTATATGTTTTCAGGTTGCTTTGCGTTTTTATAGTTGTACATTTTACCTTGCCAGGGAAATCCCAGTTCTGCCTTTAATCAGAGAATAAGACTTTGGAATCTTAGCAGAGCAAACCTTCCTCCCCAAAAACTGTAGTTCTAAATAAACATATTGTAAGGAAGAAGTCCCACTGAATTCTCTTGAGGCTTAATTTCTCAGTCAACATCCATTGAATTGTGTAACAAGTGTCAAAACCTAATTAATGTGTCAAAACAAAATGAATGTTAAAACTTTTCTAGTCAACAATATTATGATGGGGGTTAATTGGCTTGTCTGAAATCCTATAATGTAAAATTATTATTATTTTCTCTTTAAAAAACTGATTATTTGCAAGACAGTCCTGGATTAATCATTCTGGTTTGAAAAATGAAGAGTTTCACATCCACTACTGGCCAGTGATACCCCTCTGGTATAATTTCTTTTAGCACTGCTTGTTTCAAATCAGCCCTTTACTGGAGGTCTCTGCCCATTGTTTTAAATATCTTCTGTGCCTCATGGTTTCTTAGTACCATCTATGGTCTTATGAAAGGAGTTTTCTTCTTTGTCAGCCATCACAGCTAATGGGAACCGAACCATCTTCTATTCACTCTCATGTTTGATGGATGGATTTGTTAGCAAATTGCAGACTTCTTCCATTCACCTGACACTTTCTTGTTTAGGAATAACATCCTGTTCATGTTCTCCATTGCTGTCTGTAAGGATCACCTTACTATCATTACCCTTGTTTTTTGTTAGAGACAGAACTAGCCGCAGTCTTGCATTTCCAATGTGAGAAGAAATACAATGTTATGCAATAGAAAGACAGTTCATATAGGTATTTTTCCTTTTGCAGATAATCAAACACTGTCAAAGTCAAAGAGTTAGGTGTACTTCAGTGCCATAGGCTTTGATGCAACTTGAGTGCGCATAGTTGGCCTGGAATGCACTTCAGTTAAGTGCACAGGGCTTGGACATGCTGTTTGCTACTGTCCCTTTGCTTCAAGGAAGAAATAGACCATAAGGATTTTAACAAGAGAGTTTTTTTTTTAACTTAACCTGCCTGTGTATCAGAATTGGTTTAGATTAGTATTTCCTTAATGTTGCTAATCTGGAAGACTTGGCAGTAAAAATGCTTTGGTTACCTCTAATATTTTTCTGTCTTCAAAGCCAACCTCATGGTGAATAATCTGATATATTTTGTATAGCAGCACCAAATATATGGTATAGAGTGACATAAGGGAAAACTGAAGTCTCTGCAGCATGTAGCTTACAATTAAAATTCAAACAGTAGAGGAGACCACAATTAGCAGAGAGGACAGGATAAAGAAAAGGTAACAAAAGTTGGACTTTGAACAAATACTGTACAGTTACACCTGTATAAGATATCACAGGTTTGAAATTGAGCTCAGTTTGTTTGCTAAATAGTAAGACTGACTGGAAAAAGTGAATTGTTACCTTGTTTACTCAGAAATAGGGCTGCCTTTAAAAAATCCCTTTGGTACACATGCAAAAAGGGAGCGTGGTGGCGCTGCGGGTTAAACCGCAAAGTCTCTGGGCTGCAAGGTCGAAAGATCAGCAGTTCGAATCCACGTGGCGGAGTGAGCTCCCATCGCTTGTCCCAGCTCCTGTCAATCTAGCAGTTTGAAAGCATATAAAAATGCGAGTAGATAAATAGGTACCACCACGATGGGAAGGTAACAAAATTCTGTGTTTAGTTGCTCTCGCTACGTGACCACGGAAACTGTTTACGGACAAACGCTGGCACTACGGCTTGGAAATGGGGATGAGCACCACCCCTTAGGGTCGGACACGACTGGACATTTGTCAAGGGGAACCTTACACATGCAAAACAGGGTGCAGATACAGTATGTTCTTGCTTCAAAATGTCAGGAGAAAGGAGGATATGGTGAGCATGCAGGCTTGTGAAAGGGGAGGTGAAGCATTCAGTGCTCACCCAGCTATGGCACACATCATATGAGTGGAATATGACAAGACTGAATATTTATGAAGTACTGGACTGCCTGAAAAGTGGGCATTTAGTAGGGAGTTTCTGATTTTGGCTTGCAGTGAAAATCTTAATGATTGGCATCACTAGTAACTCTTTGTCTGAAGCACCCCAGTGTGCACATGAATACTATGTGTGCTAGTGTTCTTGAGCTATAGATGCAGCAAATATAAGCAGAATGTTTTGGGGACCACAAAGGGAGCAGGTACTATCTTTCTTCTTCTTTTAGGTTATGGGACACTGATGGAATCACAGGATTCCTATTTGTCATGCCTCATGGAGTTCTTCCCAACTCATTTTTCTCTGTTCACTTTTTGTCTGCAGAGTGGTTGGCATCCCGGTGAAGGAGAGGGTAAAGGTTTCTCAGAACTGGAGGCATGGACGCTGTCGGAGAATCCCACTCCTCAGATGGAAACGCAAGCAAGTAGCCCTTTCTCTTTCCTTTAGCTCCTGGGTCTCCAGCTGAAGTTGTTTTTCTGCTTGAGGAGTTTATCCTATTCTTGGTCTCTGTTGGACTGTAATATCTGTGGAGGACATTTTGGATGATGTTATTTGTACCCTGGTAGCATCTGCCAGTCCTGTAAAATGGACTGTTTCCCCCCCTCAGATTGCATACAGCATGATAGCTGAGAGAGCTGTTGGATACTGCTAATAATGAGCTGTCCCTCGTAAAGACTCAATTATTTTATGATTTTTTTTAAAAAAACAATAGTCTTTTCATTCTTATTCTTCTTATTCTGTGCTTTTCCACAATACTCCTTTATTGTCCTCCATTTGATTCTAAGTTTAATTTGCAAAAATATGAACACCAGCAAGGCTCCTAGCTTCCCCTTTAGCAGTGCCTACTTTTGGATCACATCTTACTACAATATTTTGCAAATCTAGTCTACTGAGACTCATTTTCTTCCATGTCTCTAGCAAACGTAGGCATGCTCAGTCTCTGAAATATTCTCTTTAAATGTGCCAAACAAGGGCATAAGTACTTGCCTACAGGAAGACTGCCCCCTATCATGCATTAATTGGATAGGCGTTAGTACTGTGTAATCATAGCATGCAGTTTACAAAGAGGTAAAAAGGGAAGATGGGATGTTCAAAACAACCAAGAATGCAGGGCTAGGACCTCTAGTATCTAATTAGGGGATGCTCAGGATTTAGTTTGACTCACGTTTTGATCTGAACATATTTGTCTAATGTGTGTTAGGGATGAGACTTCCATGTTTTAACAAATGAGAAAAACACGTAAGAGGCTCTTTTTTTTCATTTTGATGTTCTTTTGTTGATTCTCAAAACAAAGCCTCACAAACATGAACATTTGATGTTAAGAGAAGAGAGCTACAAACAAAATTGTTCCCCCCCCCGTTTCCCTTTTGTCTAACTTTTCTTTCATGCCTTGTTTGTCAAATTGCCTAGGAGATTTTTCTAATAGCATTGCAAAGACTGCTGTCAACAGCCAGCCAGGAGGGAATGAGTGGGAAATTTGAAGCTGTAAGATGGCCTGAGTTGCTGGAATCCAGTTGGAGTGCTCTTTCTTAGTTTTGCTCTTTCCTTGTGAGGGTGTGGTCTCCAAGTACCCTCCATATTCTGCTCTTAGCTGCTTGTGCCTTTCTGTCTTGGAATTCCTCTCCTTTCCCCCCCTTCCCCCCATCGATTTTTGCCAGGAGGGAATGAGTGGGAAATTTGAAGCTGTAAGATGGCCTGAGTTGCTGGAATCCAGTTGGAGTGCTCTTTCTTAGTTTTGCTCTTTCCTTGTGAGGGTGTGGTCTCCAAGTACCCTCCATATTCTGCTCTTAGCTGCTTGTGCCTTTCTGTCTTGGAATTCCTCTCCTTTCCCCCCCTTCCCCCCATCGATTTTTGCCAATTATTTAACCTATTCCTTTAGGTTATAGTGGAATCTCTACTTACAAACGTCCCTACCTACGAACACTCCAACTTACGAACAGCTCCATTCGCAAAATTTTGCTTATATTTGTGAACGGAGCTTCAAGATACAAACAAAAAAAGGCAAGGGAAAAGGGCAGGAAATTTAAATTTGCTAACCATTGGTGGCGAACGCCATCAGAGGCCTCCGAGGGCTTCCCCGCCCCGATGCAGGCTTTCCCGAGGTAGATCGGGCCTACTAGGGGAAGCCCTGGTCTACAAGGCTTCCCCTGGTAGGCTTGGTCTACCAGGGCTTCCCCGGTAGGCCCGGTCTACCCCAGGAAAGCCTGCATTGGGGTGGGGAAGCCCTTGGAGGCCTCCGAAGGCGGCGATCGCGGTGGCGGGAGACCCCCGGGAGGCTTCGGATGGGTAAGGTGCTGACACTGGGCAGCCTGCCTATGTCAGTATGCCTTTTTGGGATTACGGTGGTGCCTTGCTAGACAGTTACCCCACATTACAGTTTTTTCCCTAGACATTGGCTTTTTGCGATCGCTATAGCGATTCACAAAACAGTGATTCCTATGGGGGAATTTTGCTGGACAGTGTTTGGTCCCTGCTTCGCAAACCAATTTTTGCTAGACGACAATTTTGACAGGTCCCTCCGCGCTCACAAAACAGGTGTTTTCAGGACCCAAGCTTCGCAAGACAGCAATATAACAGCTGATCGGCAGTTTGCAAAGGGGCTTTCTTATGGCCGATCATCGCTAGACAACGACGATTCTTCCCCATTGGAACGCATTAAACAGGTTTTAATGCATTTCAATGGGGAAATGCTTTTTGCTAGACAATGATTTCGCTAAACAGCGATTTCAGCGGAATGGATTATCATCATCTAGTGAGGCACCACTGTATTATTATTATTTTTAATTTGAGGATTTTTTGGAGGGGGGACATTTTTGTTCCTTCCATTTTTTGGATTAACTTTGCTGCCTGCTTTCTGCTGTGCTATTCAAGAGAGAAAGAGGAAGATCTCAAGTGGGATATCTTCTAATCATTTTGGTTTTGGGGAGGCGGTTTGATGGTATTTTTTGTCTTTAATTGCTTGCTTGCTTTTCTTAGTTTTTAAGAGAGGGGGCTGTTTAGGTCTGAGTGTTTTATTTTGCTGTGTGTATGTGTGTGTGTGTGTATGAGAGAGAGAGAGATTTCCCTGTTTAATTGATCTTTAAGTTTTTAATATTTGGTTAATTTACAATGTATTTAATTTGTTAAGATTGTATATTTTAGTGTTCTTTTTGGAACTGTTTTATTTGGTGATGTTGGTCATTGCTTGTACTGTTGCCTGCTTTTGGAGAAGGCTAATTCTCTATTGCCCTGCCTCTGCTCTTTGGGTTTGTTTTTGCATGTTTTTTAGGGCTTTTGGGGGGCTAGTGCCAAAAAACATGAATAGGGAAAAACAAAATGACCCAAAAGAGATGGCCTTTTCACATAAAATGAACTGCCTTGCAAAATCATAACAAATGTATATGTTTAGAATGTAATACTTTGAAAGAAAATAAATTTTTAAATATATGTTGTGTTCAACAGTAGATCAAAATATGTATTTAAATAAGAGTTTTCACACATTAGAAAAAAGTCAATTGATTTGATGAAACTGATTTTTAAATAAACACTTGGGAAAGTGACACAGAGCTAAAATAGATTGATTTGTTGTTTTTTAGTCGTTAAGTCATGTCCAACTATTCATGACCCAATGGACCAGAGCACGCCAGGCCCTTCTACCAATTACCAATTACCCTCCGACCTATACCAATTCCTGTTTCTAAAGTGTAAAAATATTTTATTTTCCAGTTTAATGCCTTGGATGCAATTAGATGGCAGCTACCTCTACCTGTCCCAGGCAGAAGACATCCATGTATATTGGCTCCATTCCAGTGGTACCAGCTTGCAACGCAGTCCTCAGACAGTATTTTCTGGCCATCAAGAGGATGTGTGCCGCTTTGTGATTGCTAATGGCCATGTTGTCAGTGGAGGAGGGTAAGCTTTTGTTGTAGTGAATGAGGATGGATGAGCTGGTTTATAGGTGCCCTTGAACAAGAGGTGGGAGAATTGACTTTCTGGAACTCAGACATTGTGTGATTTGCCTTTATGTTAGTAGGTTTCTGCTTGAGGAACATAGAGTAAATTGTTGGCAAAATGAAAGGGGAAAAAGAAAATGAAGAAAAGAGAAATGAAAAAAAAGTCAAAATAATGTGGTGTGTTAGCTGATTTCTTTCAGCATGAACTTTTATGAATCAAAATCCATTTCTTAAGGCACAAGGAGTGCAGATGGTATGGTTGATGGAGAGGATTTCAATCCACAACAGCTCACACTGAAATAAATCTGTTAGTTCTTTCTCCTTTTTTTCTTGCTTCTCTTTTAATTTTTGTAAATGTGCTAGGTCAAAGAAACAAGGCTAATTCTTTGGAAATAGGGGGAATTGGTCCCATGTGGTCAGGGTTGCATTCCTTTGTGTCCAAAATGTGTCTTGGCACAAAATCCAGCTTCCGTTGAACTTGAACTTTGATTTGCAAAAAGAATAGGTTTCATGGCTGCATAGCTTAGCTTGACAGTGGAAAGCAATGAATACGTTTGTTGTTTAGTCGTTAAGTCGTGTCCTACTCTTTGTCACCCCATACATGAGAGCACGCCAGGCCCGCCTGTCTTCCACTGCCTCCCGGAGTTTGGTCAAATTCATGTTGTTAGCTTCGATGACACTGTCCAACCATCTCGTCCTCTGTCGTCCCCTTCTCCTCTTTCCTTCACACTCTCCTAACATCAGGGTCTTTTCCAGGGAGTCGTCTCTTCTCATGAGATGGCCAAACTATTGGAGCCTCAGCTTCAGGATCTGTCCTTCCAGTGAGCACTCAGGATTGATTTCCTTCGAAATTGATAGGTTTGTTCTCTTTGCAGTCCAGGGGACTCTTAAGAGTCTCCTCCAGCACCACAGTTCAAAAGCATCAATTCTTCAGTGGTCAGCCTTCTTTATGGTCCAGCTCTCACTTCCATACATCACTACTGGTAAAACCATCGCTTTGACTATGTGGACCTTTGTTTGCAAGGTGATGTCTCTGCTTTTTAAGATGCTGTTGAGGTTTCTCATTGCTTTCCTCCCAAGAAGCAGGCATCTTAATTTTGTGGCTGCTGTCCCCATCTGCAATGATCATGGAGCCCAAGAAAATAAAATCTGTCACTGCCTCCATATCTTCCCCTTCTATTTGCCAGGAGGTGATGAGACCAGTGGCCATGATCTTAGTTTTTTTTTATGTTGAGCTTCAGGCCATTTTTGGCGCTCTCCTCTTTCACCCCAATTAAAAGGTTCTTTAATTCCTCCTCACTTTCTGCCATCAGAGTGGTATCATCTGCATATCGGAGGTTGTTGATATTTTTTCTTGCCAGAATGAGTACTACAGTCCCCTAATTCACAGATGGCTGAAACAGATTTTCAGAGCCTGGAAATACAGGTTAAATGACCTTCATAGCTCCTTAGCTGTTTTTGTTGTTAGCAAAGCATAATCATTTATGCAGAATAATAAAATGTAAAATAAATTACGCAGAAATAAATATTCTTCAAGTTTGGTGAATTTACATAACTTACCCAGATAGTGGAATCTGCTTTTCTTGTTGTAAAATTTGGATTATCTCAAGACACAGATTTTTTTCTCTTTTTTCATCATGGAATATATATGGTCCTCCCCATGTTCATCCAGTTTCAAGATCATCCTCAAGGCTGTTGAACCAGATGCATGCATTTGCCAGGATCCGATGCTTTGAATCCATTCTTCCTGTTTAAATATAACTTTTGAAAGAAGCTGCACATGCCCTGTTTTGCACAATCTTCATTGGGAATTTATTGTAAAATTTACATTGAACTTGGAGAATCCTTAATTATTAATATCTTTGACATAGGAAATAAATGGCAAGTTTCATCTATGTGTGAGTTTCTATTATTGTTGCTGTGGCTAGGTTTTCTCAAAGTTTATTAGTTTTCATTTATTTTCACAGGTAAAAGTTGTCCTGGTTGTATGTGCTCAATTTTATGACGATGAAGTGTGGATATGTTAACTATGTTTAAAAATGGAAATTACTACTGTACTAGTATAATAACATAGCAAATTTAAAACAAAGAGAGCTTTTCATATATTGTTGAACTATAGGTTGTATAAGTCCATGCCACCATAACCACTGTTAAAAGATGCTTGGAGCTGTAATCTTAACATTTAAACGGCCATAGTTGCACAATCCTTAATTGGAATAATTGGAAGTGTAATTATGTAATTTGGCTCTTCCATAACAGAACACGTCCTGTTCAGATATGACTAGTTATCCTGCTGTATGCTGGTGCGTTATGTGTCTTACGTTGTTGTTCAGAAGATATGCACTTTTATGCATTGGGTTTACTTTCCAGAGACGGTGTTATTGCTCTTCATAAACTCAATGGCTCCTTAAGCTTCAAGTTCCTGGGGCATGAACAGGAAGTAAACTGTGTGGACTATCAAGGAGGCATTGTTGTCAGTGGTTCGCGAGATAGAACAGCAAAGGTGAGCTCATGTCTTGCTTCACAACTATGATTGGATGCAGAAAGAAATGTGGAAGATGGACAAGGAGAGCATTGTTCTCATTCCCCATTTTTGGTTAGTTTTCTCTTATCAGTAGAAATGTGGCCTGTAAAGACTGATGGACAAACAGAAAGACATAACAAATCAAAACAAAAAACTGTTCAACTATATGCCAAATTCTGGATTATTCAAATTCTGTTTTATTCAAATTAATCCCAAATGTTTCAGTTATGTATCACAAAATTGACTGCCCATGGACTAGTTGCATTTATGTTGTGATGCAGATGTGATATAGGCTGAAATCTAGTAGCAAGCCACAACTAGATTAGGCTTAATGAATCAGTGAGGATTTGATGAGTCACTTTTTTGGGTTTTTTATTGACTTACCATTGGGCTGGAAAATTTAGGACAGAACAAAATCATAGTACTCTGTAAGAGCCTGTTGACGTTATTCATTAAGGATTGTAGACATGGATGTTTATTGGCTCTTCAGCTGTATATGCTGTAATGTGAGCCAAAAACCCATGGGGAGGTAGAGTATTTGTGTGGCTGCTCCATTCCCTCTTCCTTCTAAACTCCTAGATGGCTCATTGTTACTGGAATCTTTCAAATGCCAGAAGCACATCACCTTTGGGGATGCTTAACATTGCATTCAGGCAGGCAGCTAACTCTTATAGACATCTTCAGCTCTGGGTGTTTTCAGAACCTTAAGCATGTGAAGAGCTATTCACCATTCCTCAAGCTGTTGGCCTCTCATAGCTGCATTTACAGCCACATTACTTCTCAAAGAACACTGGTAGTTTACAATGCTTATGTGGAAGAAAAATGTATAGAAAGCAGTGCTCAGACCAGATATTTCTAGACCAGTGCAAGATCAGACATAGGCGCCAAAGACCAACAAGTTCTGAGTTTCAGGCTTGTCTACTAATGAATGATTTCTCACTCCCATTTAATTGTTTTCAATACTTAATGAATGATCATTCAGTTGCTTTTCTGCCACAAGTGATGAGTGGTGTTTTCAGCATATCAGAGCTAATCTGGGCCACAGCTGTCCCCTTAGTGACAAGAGGCTGTTCAATGATAGGGTCAGAGCTGCTGGTGGACTGTGACTTTAATCTCTGAAGAAAGACGAAAAGAATATGCATACGCAAGTTAGACTCATAACTTTCATTGTGGGAGGCATCTTTTCTTAAGAGTGTCAAAAGGAAAATGTGAAGTTCTTCCAGACATGTCAATTCATGTGTGATTCAGCTCAGAGATGGAGTACTAGCTTGCCTCTTCTGCAGAGTGTTCATATGCACATGAATCAGTTGGACTTGCAGCGCTGTAAAACAGACATGGAGGAAAACAAATATTTTTCACAAGCTTTTATATTTGTGTCTATGTCTCTCTCTGTCTGTTTATCTATATTTATGTGTATGTATATGTCTAGGGCCACACTTGGAAATATGAAAGGTTCTCCTGAAATATTTAGTGTGATGATAGGATAACTAACATCTTGCACTGATCATCTTGTTGCCCTCCCTAATCTTGATTTAAAGTTTGGTGCAGCGATACCTTTTGGGTTGCTCTCCTGTTAGGAATTGAGTGTTTTTAATGCAACAGTTGCCTCCCAACCAGCCAGAACAGTAATAGCTCATTGACAGGTTTCTTTTGGGATGTTGACCAAAGGATCCTCTGTCTCTTGGTATAACATTTTGCAAAAGATACATTTCTTCTTTCTACTGTTAACTGGCTTTTAGCAGAATCCGTTTCAAACCATAATATCTTCAGATGCTTTTTAAAAGGCTGGAATTTGAATTTCTGGGGATAATATAGAACTACAATTGAGCTTGGTGGCAGAGTCCGTGAAAGAAGAGATGCACAGACAAGACATGTTTCAACTCACAAAAACACGAATTTCTAACATAGTTAACTAGTAACAGAAATCTGTCCAGTCTGTTTGCTTTATCATGCATCATATGTGCATAAACTGCTTTTAATCTTTTGATATAAGTAAACAGTGATTTCATAAATAAATCTATTTTCTACTGGTGACTGGCTTGACATCATCACTCCATGTTTGCTTGTACAGCAAAATCTGTGCCCCTCCCCCCATATTCCATTGTTGTTAAGTGCTACCACATCACATCTGATTGGTGGTCAACCTAATAGGGATTTCAAGGTATGTGAGATTGTCAAGGAGTGTTTTAACATTGCTACTACTTCCATCAAATTTTCATGCCCAAGCAGGCATTTGAACCCAGGTCTCTTGAGTCCCAGTCAGACACACCATTCATGACACCACATTGACTCTCCAGAATTCTGTCCATGCAAACTATGGACATAATGGTTTGTTGTGGACACTTGTAGGTCACTAGGTAAGATTCCTGGTGAAAGCTGTGAAATACAAGAATAGCAAATTCCTTAAATCGTTGGAAATCCCTTTTTGATGGCTGCTGCTTTGAATGCTAGCTTCTGGGGGCCTATAATAGGTGTATCTGTCCTGCCATAGACAGTATTGGAGGCATCTCATGACCTTGAAAACAAATGCCTCAAAGTCAAAGTAAATTGTGCTTTAGTTGAGTGCACTGTTACAACGGGTTTTTTTAAAAAGCAGAAATGGAGTCTGGCTCACATAACACTTTTCCAGTCTGATCCTTATGAGCAGGGAATTGCTTTTATTTTTACCAAGTGACATTTTCCTTGTGTTGACTCCTAGGTGGAAGGGAATCCCTAGTAGATCTTTAATGGGAGCTATAAGTGCATTGGGTGCTTTGGAAGGATAGTGAGTGTTGATTACAGCTGAGCTTTGAGTAGCTGCTAATGCACATTCCTCATTGATAGGCAACAGATAGCATGCTCCCAGCAATATTTTTAACCTGTATGAGATAGGGGTGCATTAAAAGAGCTCAGCTTTTCTGTTGCTTTTGCTGACACAAGGTGCCACATTCCCCACTGACACTGAATAGCTGGCAATCCTGAGCATTATCAACAAACAAACAAATGCAACCCTCCCAGCTTTGAATTCCCTTAAGTCATTGGTTGATAGTCAGGAGGGAACTAGAGGCTTGCATCTTAAGGTTCACAAAATGGGAGATTAATTCATTGTAGTGTATGTGTGGATGAAAGAAGTGTTGGAATCTCAAAAGGCTTCAGCAACATGAGCTTAAACATAGTTATTAGTTTGGTAACAGATTTCTGAGAACACACAGGCAAGCTACTTTAGGTTGATAGTAAGCAATATGTATTGTGTTAGAGTAAGTGCTATTGGAGGATGAATCTGTATTAAGGGATTGATGCCTATTTTAACTTTTGGTATGAAAAGTTACACTGCACAGGAAACAAGCCCCATTCTTTATGTGGTTCTGTTGTTTCAAATTGTGGAAGAAGGGTTTAGGAGTGTCTCCTCAAATAAAGATGCACAGAGTCAAGCAGAGAGAAAATATGTGTTTCTTCTGACACGTGCATGCTCAATATAACTTGAAAAGATACATTTCAAATGGGTATTCTCGGCCCCAGTTTGTGAACTGCAACTAATTTGGACAGACAGTATTAGTAATCTTGCTTCTTTGTGTCACTGCTATGGATATATACATCTGTTGCTATGGATATATACAGTATTTTGTAGATATATATATTGCAAAAACCTTGCAATCAAAACACTGTACAGTGGTGCCCCGCTTGATGACGATAATGTGTTCCAGCAAAATCGCTGTTAAGCGAAATCATCGTCAAGCAAAAAAAACCCCACCCATTGAAATGCATTGAAAACTGGTCAATGCGTTCCAATGGGGGAAATACCTGATCGTGCAGTGAAGATCCTCCATAGGGCAGCCATTTTCCACTCCCTGTCTTGAGAAATGAGGTCAGCAAAATAGCGGGGAGCCATTTTGAGATCTGCCAATCAGCTGTTTTTAAATAGTTGTTAAGCGAAAAATCGGTTCCCGAAGCAGGGAACCGATCGTCGTGAAGTGAAAAAAACCCATACAAACATCATTAAAATACTCACTGTCAAGCGATTTTGTTGTCTAACGGGGTAATCGTCAAGTGGGGCACCACTGTACCTAGGCTGTGTGATTTGCAGTCATTCTGTTGATGTTAGATTGTGCACGAAAGGTATTAAGGGAGGATTATTTACAACTGCGATTAATATTAATATCTCCATTTTGTACCTTTAATACTGTTTTCATTCTTTTCCTTCTCTTTCTTTCCTAGGTTTGGACCCTGTCACCAGGTAGAGCTGGGCAGTGTCTGCACACAATACAGACTGAAGATCGGGTTTGGTCCATTGCCATTAGTCCATTATCAAGGTAACAAATGTCATCTTAAAGTTGTGTTTGATGTGGACATTTCGTGTTCAATTTATCTTTTTATAATTTGTAATTTTAAAAAAATGTTTTTTAAATTATTTTTTTAAAATGTAAAGTTTCCTGTTATGCATGCAGGCACTGGCAGCGTATAAGAGCAATTGAGACAGTAATCTTCTCTACTCAATCCATGATCCACTACTACAAGTTGGCAAGCATTCTGAATCTAAAAAGGAAACTTCTGAATTTGTGATGCATTGTGAGCTGTGTGAGGATTAGATAAAGTATTGCAAATCTTTAAAATGTTGAACCAAACTCAACGTTCAGTCTTTCTTCTCACTGGAAACTATTCAGAACCATCTTTTTTTAAATGCCTACTTCAGGAGCTGTCTTGTATTGATTTTTTTTAAAAAAACTATGTAACTATAGGAGCAAATGAGCAGTGGAAGAAAGGAGGGCCTGCCATGCTCTGGTCCATGGGGTCACGAAGAGTCGGACACAACTAAATGACTAAACAACGACGATAGGAACAAATAATTTGTATATTTTAGGAAAAGGTCCATTCTTGCAGTTTGGAAGAAAGATGTCATGAGAAATATATGTATGCATATGTAGCAGATCTAAGTGTAAAAAGGTATATCCTTATGGGTGTGTGTGTCAGTTTTCTTCATGTTCATTGACTTTGAATCTTCTGCTTGATCTTCTGCATAGAATTTTGCAGTAGGGCATTGCACACCTCAAAGCTACTTAACTGCAATTAATGGCCTGTGATTGAATTTAGGAAGAGTTGTGTCACTCATCACTAATGGCATCGCAGAGTGCATCCAGTTAGTGCTACTTGTGCAACCACATTGCGGTTGTGGTCTGTAGGATCTTACATTTTCTGAACTACATAATACTGTGCTTTGCTCAGAAAATGTAGATTAAATAAGGCTTACAGTGAAGTTTAACCCTCTCAGGTTGGTCATTTCAAAATTCTAGTAACATGGAAATTGCAAATGAGTGCTAATAAGACCACATGCAAGCCACTTCCTGTTGTGAAGTTAGTATGTGTGATAGCTTATGTAAATGTAAAAAAAATCCAGTATGTGAATAAAAACAAAGATACAACCAACAGCAAAGTATGTGCATAACAACTCCAGTATTAATATAGAAAATCCATAGATAAGTGAGATCTTCTAGTTAACTTGCAGCAATCTCATCTTCAGGGATCTTGGGATAATAATAATAATAATATGCTGTCAAGTCAGTTCTGGCTTATGGTACCCCCTTTCAGGCTTTTCTAGGAAAAGAGTACTCAGAAGTGATTTACCATTCTCTTTTTCTAGGGGCACCCTGGGTCTGTGCAACTTGCCCAAGGCTACACAGGCTGGCTTTTCGGAGATGCACAGTGGGGAACTGAACTCCCAACCTATGGCTCCACAGCCAGATACATAACACATTGAGCTATACAGCCAGCTCACTGTGCTAACTCACTCAGCTGTCTAGTCATCAATTTATAGAGGGCTAGTGGCATAGGAGAAATTTGCCCCTTTTAGAGTTCCATGCTCTCATACCTCAGAGTTGTAACAAAGAGACCCAGTTTTTAAAACTTGAGACTATCCTCATAGCATTTGACCTCTGACTATTATAGATCCAGAGATTACCTGAAAAGTCATTCCATGTTGATGCATCTCCTGTATAAGAATTATTTGGGTAAGAGAACTGTAGTGTCTGTCCCCTGGCAGAACTTAAAGGATAAATAAAAGGATATTTTGTTTATACTGTACTGAAACTCAGTGTTTGATTCTCTTTTCGAATATTACATAACTTTTCTTGCAGTTGGTGTAAAATGTAAATTACATTTCTGCATTCTGTGGAGCACTCAGTTTTTTTTAAATATGCTGGAAAGAGTTGCCTAAACACACAAGAATGTATTTTGGGCTCTTGGGAATCCATGTTTGTGTATTTAGATGCACAGCTATTGAAAAGGGATGGTACCTGGAGAAACTTTAACTGCCCTGATTGAATTATGACGTGTGTGTGCACATTATTGTTCTGCCAGTATTAAGAACTCAAAGTTTACAAATTTATTAATCTTATAGCTTCCTTAAAACTAAATTATCTAATTTTGAGCAGTATGTTGAAGGATTCTAAATAGTCTTATGTTTAGTATGTTTAAAGAACATACTGAATATTTATTTCAATATGTTTAATGAATTATAGCACATTGTAATAAGATAATTGTATTTTGAATATACTTATTTTCAGTTCTGAATTTTAGCAAGCTTTAAATGAAGAATTTTCCTGTAACAGACTTGCCTCAAAATTTGGAGCAAATCCTAACTTTTAAGAAGTTTTTGCAACCTTACAATAGATTGGTGGTGAAAATTTGAGAGTTTAAGTACCTTAGGTTATACATTTGGCCTGTTGCAGTGACTGGTCCTGATTCTCCTCTATCTTGGCCTTGTTGTTTTTCCCCAAATTACATCAGTGGTTTGAATTAGTGGGCACAAGAGAGAAGCTTTTTTGGCCTTCCACCTACTCAGTGTACATCATCTGACTTTCTTTTCTTGCTAGTGCTAACCAGTGGGCACAGCTGTTTGAAAGCACTTTTGCATTTTTTTAACCAATATAAAAGGACCTTCAGGTTGCTTGCTTAGAGCTCTTCCCCTTGTAGTTTTGGAGATATGCACTGGATGTGCTGCAGTTGACTAGGAGAGCCCTTGTTTAATACACTGTTTTGTCCTTCTAAGTGATGACCTGCAGGGCTGGCCTCTTGTCAGAACACTGACTTCTCTCCCTGGAGTGAATGCACACTCTCTGTCACAATATTTACCTAGCGTCTTTTCCCCCCACTGGGTGATAAATGGAAGCTTGCAGAGTGGCTTCTCCATCAGCAACCAGGTTTGTATCATTCCCGTTTTACGAGACTGCTGATCCCACTGCATCTCTCTTTCTTCCCCACCCCCAAGTATTAGAGCCGATTAGCCACGTCATTAATTCTTCAATTTGACGGCTGATATAGCATGGCCTGAAACACACTGCTGACCCCATATAATAGAACTTCAGCTCTTTAACATATTAATGATGGGAGAAGTTAATTAAAATTCCACAGAGTGAAGGTGTCAGCTAACCTATAAACCTGTCGCTTCCAAGAAAATGTTGCTGCGAACCTAGAAGAAATGGTCTGAGGGCAAGAGGGGGCATTTGCAAGTGCAGGATGAGATTCTCCGCCCACATCAAGCAAAACTGATAGTTTGATCTTTCTTTGAGCAGAGTTAGCTTCAAGGTGGCTCAGTATTGCCAATGTTGGGATCCTGTTCTCCTTTTGTTCTTAGCAGACAGTTTTAGGAGACTTCATTGTTGTCTTTCTAATGGAACAGAGCGCTGTAGTTCAGTAATATTTGCTAGCAAGATTCTCATTTTTTCCTTCACAATAAAATATATGTTTGGTCCATCGGGCTTTTCTTTTACAGTCTTCTTGAGGTTTTAGGGCTTGTGAAACAGTTGCCTCTCTCTGTTCAGTTAGGAGGTCTAGTATTTGTATACAGGAATTGTGAAAACAGGAGTGTGTCCTTATAATAATGAAATGTTTAAGACAAAAGTGTTTTTGGTCATGCGTTCTGCACTGATACCAGCACTGCTTCCTCTGAAAATTTGTTTTCTTTATGTTAAGCCCCTTCCTCCACTGAGTTAAATGACTCCTTCTATCCACTTTTATCTTCAGAATAGACCTGTGAGGTAAGTTAGGTAGTGTGAGAGCAGTGGCTTAGGAATAGTCATTGAATTGCATGGCTCAGTTGGCTACTAGAACTTAGATCTCTGTTCTCCCAATCCAGCTCGGTAACTACTATACTGCACTGGCCACTGAGCTGAGGCTGGAGATCCAGGCACTGAATCTGATGGGATTATATGTACATTTAACCTTCCATGTCCTGTACAGGATCATCTTTGCTTGTTCCTTGGCCTGCTTATGATAACCTGTTATCCAACTGATGACAAGGTGCATTTTTCTGTTCTGTGAAGGCTGTTTTGCATCATGGAAAGGTCTGCCATATACAGCAAGTAGAAGTGGCTGTTCTTTTAATCCCTTGTAGCCCACCCCATGTTTCTGTGGCACTGCTAAATACATAATGTCACTGTGATGATAGAAAAGTTTCTACCTGCTTCCTCTGCTTCTCTAGTGAAGGAACTTGAAGTGGTGCATGTGTTACATGAAGGGAGGTTTAACTTGTCACTGATGGTGGCAAATGCATTGTCAAGATCCCAGTCTGATTTGCAAGGCTGAGGTTCAGTTCATAGTTTTTACTGTTCCCCAGAATGGACCTGTGGAACTTTGCAGGCTTGTTTTCTGCAGAACCTTGTTTAATTATTTATTGTCTCTGACAGCGTATTTTTTTCCATGAAAGGAACAAGATAGTTATAAATTTTTGCTTTTCCACTATTTCAAGCAGTATCTTTAGAATTTTGGCACTGTGGATTCTTAAACACTTCATGACACTGATTCTCATTTTTTTAAAAAAAATCAGTACAAATACATGCACTTTTAATTATACCAACAAATTTGGCAAGTCAGAGGGGGAGGTTTCTTTAAGTAAAGTTCCCTCTCTTGGTTAATGTAGGAGAATTTTAAAGAGGAGATCGCTTTTTAAAGTACCTTAGTCTGGAAACTAGCTGCTCTATTAAGTTCTTCTTTTCAATTCCATAAGTTTATCTGGAATAAAGAATTTTAGTTAGTTAAACAAGCAAAGGGACTTCTTAACTATGCAAGTGAAAAACTTACCTCTTCTAGCCTTTTACACAGGGAAGGAGAAAATGCCCATGTAGTTTCTTGTGTCACCTTGATTACAGTTCAGGGGTCCCACTGCCATAGAACTGTGGGTTTCCATTTCCAGTCACTGATCTTTTTCCTCTATTTTTCAAACTTCCAAAGAGAGAGAGAGAGATGAAGAAGGTAATTTTCCTGGGCCATGGCCACTGTTTACTTTTGCCTGGCTGTGCAGTATGCCTTTGTTTTTCCA